TTTGTTTTGAAAAAAAAAACATTTATTAGATGGAAAACTGGGATCCCATCTCAATACCACTGAAGCTATCACCTTATTGTTTTTATATAATTAGTAAAACTATAATTTCTAAAGAAAAAAAAATGAAATAGATCCAAAGGACCTATCAGTAACCATGTCTGTTTCAGCACAGATCATCATTAGAATTTCTTATAGGTATCTTCATTACAGGGGCCAGGACATGATCTACAGGGGCACTGGCCCCCGTTGGCCCCCGTCTAGAACCGCCCATGAGTACAATAAAGACTGACCAACCGTCTCACATTCAGACTTTGGGAAAGCTGAGGACACATAAAAAAAACTGCAGCAGAAGAAGCTCTCCAAGAGTACACATTGGCACGAGTGTGCTTAGCCTGAACTGCTGACACTAGCATGATAACATGCTTAGCCTAATAGAGCCGGAGCATCATAAAGCAATAGTCTTATCTCACAGTGAACACGCTTTTCTGGACAGGATGTTCTAAAACAACCTCAGCTGCAAAATTCTGCATGATAAAAAAGTGGATCAACAAATTCTAACATTATCTCTATTATCATTACAATTATAGTTATAAGTCATATCATAACTCATGATGATAAGTCATAGTAGTAGAAATAAAGGAGGATAGTAACTAGTTATAACTGTTGGAGTTCATTTTGGAAAAGAAAAAATACTTTTTGGAGTAAATTGTTCAGTTTTTACTTTTACTTATGTAATAATTTTTTCAGAGAATCACAATTTTTTCTGGAGAACAATTTCAGGTTAATCTGCCCCCCCATGAGTAAGTGAACTGTTCAGATATCAGATGAAAACATGGCAAAAACAAGATTTTGATGTTTATCTTTTGCTGCATTGTCTTCTGTAAAGGACAGTTTAATAAGTTTATGTTGCAAAAAAACATGCTTCATCTGCCCAATTGTGTTGTTATGAAATCATTTTATTTTTTTAAAGTCGTAGGGAAGTCGTATTAAAATGTCAAATCATTCTGGCTTAAACATGTCTGATAAAGAGTACCGTAATTTTCGGACTATTAGCCACACCTGAGTATAAGCCGCAGAAGCTAAGGCCCCGTCCACACGAAGTCAAAACGAA